AATTCTTAATAGCATTACATTAAGAATTATGTTTTAACATTTTTGTACACTTTAAAAAACTTTGTGCATGCATCCTCTCTCTCTCTCTCTCCCTCCCTCCCTCTCTCTCTCTGTGTATGTGTGTGAATGTGTGTGTGGGCAGGGAGGTCAGAAGGCAACTTCTAGTGAGTGAGTGTTGGTCCTCACTTTTGGCCTTGCTTGAAACAGAGTCTCTTTGCCAAACAAATTGGCTGGCTCAAGAGTTTCAGAGAGTTGCCTATTTCAACTTCCCCTCTCAGAGCAAGAGCTGGGATTGTAAGTGTGTGCTGACAGCCTCCAATTTTTTGTGTGGGGTCTATGGATCCGAGCACAGGTCCTCAGGCCTATTCTTCACACACTGAACCACTTCCCTAGGTCCTACAGCACTGATTTTTCTAAAACAAAACAAGCATAATCTTTGATAATTTCCTTTCCTCCTCTCTCCCTCCTCTTCTTTTTCCTCTCCTCTCCTCTCCTTCCTTCCTTCCTTCTTCTCCCTCTCCCTCTTCCTCTCCCACTCTCCCCCTCCCCTCTCCTCCTCCTCTTCCTCTTCCTCTTCTTCTTCTTCTTCTTCTTCCTCTTCTTCTTCTGGTTTGTTGTACTAAGGATTGAACCTATGGCACTATGCTCACCAGGTAGGAGTTCCACTACTGAGTTATATCTCTTTTTAAATTACTTTATTTTATTTTGTAGCATAGTCTCTCTAAGTTATCCAAGTTGGCACTAAACTAGTGCTGTAGCACAGGCAAGCCTTGAACTTGAGATCCTTCTGCCTCAGCCTCCCAAGTAACTGAGATTATAGCCTTGGCTGAAAATTTTCAAAATAAAAAGCTGAGGGAAAGCATTAATTCCAGCTCAAGTTCTTAGCAAACAAAACACAACAGAATAGAACAGAACAAAAGAAAAACCCTTAGGGAGCTTAATTATTATGGCTAAGATTTAGAACAGAGCACTTACAAGGGGAGTCTACTGTGCCTGGTTATGACTCGTCTCCATCAGACTGAAGCTTTAATTACGACATCGTGGAAACTCATACTATACCACCCTCGTTTATTTCCAATCAGAACTTTGAGTCATCAAAATAACTCTGCAGGATGTGCGCACACGGTTTGTTACTGGGCAGCCCAGATCCATGTTTCCAGGGATATCTGACACCCTCTGCCCTTTTGTTGCAGATGTGTCTCTGGCTTTTCCATGCCAAAACACAGCCCAAGATTAGAGCAGCATATACTTAAGGGTAGGTTTTCCCAGATGGTGGTGGTTGGGACCTGAAACGTAAGAGTGATTGAGAACTATGTGGAGACACTGCCTTGGAAAAGAAAATAGTTCTGGGAGAAATTTAAGTTACCACCAGTGGATAACCCCTTCCTTTCCCTAATGAATGGGTGTATTCTTCTCGTGTTTGTGTGTGTGTGTTTGCGAGCACGCAAGCACATGTCCAGGTAATATCTTCATAAAACGACATTCAAATAGAAGCACAAGTCTTTTGAAAAGAGGACTTGGATCTGTCTGTCATGTATAGAGACGTGAAGCACAGGGATTTCTTCTGTGTTTGGGGGAAGAATGACGAAAATCCAAGGGAAACAATTCTATGCTGGTGCATGATCCCATCCTTATTAATATAAAGTAGATTTTGACCAGAACCACCCCTCTCCCGGTAGCTAAGTAGAATTCCCCAAGATACTCTATTGTCCCTGCGATTCACTGTCCCAGGAAATTTTCCTGCCTTACCTCCGAGTAGAATACAACTATTCTCTGGCTGAGCAGTTTGCCCCACGCAGCTAACTGCCCCCTCAGGTCACACTGTGTCAGTTCAGGTTGCTGGGTAAGGGCTTGCCAACTCAGGCAAACTTCGTTACCAGTGATGACTGAGGTTTCGGGGTTTCCCCAGCCCTCCCACGCTGGGCCACGCAGCTAGCGTCAAAGAGTGCACCAACTCTCTACTCTGAGCTGCAGGGACGAAGCGGAGAACCCAATGCACCCTGGATGCAGCTGCCGCCAGCCCAGGGCTCCTGGCTGGGGGACGGCGAGCGCAGGGTGATTTTTCACCAGATGCCTTGTTTTCCTGCGGCAGAAACCCGAGGCGGGCTCTTTCCACCAGACCTAACTGGCCCGCAGCGATAGCCATGGAAGTTGCTGTGGCGCAGAGCGAGATCCAATCACTCTGCGCGGCTTTTTTTTGTGGATGTTTTTTCCCTACACAGGTCACTTCTTTCTTCCTCCGTTGGGTAAGTGGACTCAGTTTGTAAATAACCAATGAACGGGAACGGGTAGGGATTGACAGTGAAGGAAGCCGGTGGGGGGTGGGGGGGTAGGGGAGAGGAGCACAAAGAATTAATATGCTAATAGGTTTTTTGTTTTTGTTTTTGGTGGGGGTGGTCTTGCACCTCAGTTTTGCAAGAATTACATTTAATTTCACCACATGCATTGCAGGGAGGATACTGGGATTTATTTTTGTTCGGACTCCCCCCCTCCCAATAAACTTGTCTTTGAACACATCCTGAAGGGGGAATGAGAGAATGCCCCAGAGGTGGGTGACCAGTGAAAGGTAAGAGGGAAGGAATCCAGGGATTCAGTAGAGAGATGTTCCTCTAAGCCAGTGACCAGAGCAAGACTTCAACCCAACCAGCAGCTATATATTCATTCTGTTCCAAGTCTCACAGCCTCCACCTAACTGCCCTGATGCTCTTGGGGTTGGGAGGACCTTCATTACCCGGAGGTCAAAATCACTTCTAAAGAAGACCTACAACTTAACTTTGCACACAAGGGATGCTCTGTGTTTGTTGATTGGCTGAATGGTAAAGCATGGGAAGATGGCTGTTTGTTCCACAAAACCGTGCTTTGGGCAGTGATAGGATTCTTTAATGTTGACTCCTGAATCCAAGGATAGTCCAGTTCATTCTACAGAGGGCAAGAGGCTGGAGTGTTCGGTAGTCCATTATTTGGATCGTCATTGCTCCAAAAAACCCGTATGGTCAGATTCATGGTCCTGGGCCCCAAGGTTTTGCTATAGGTCTTTGGGTCAGGTACACTTGGGGTTTTGATCTCCCCTCTGTGACCTTGGGAGTGTTTTTTTATCCTCCTGAGCAGAAGTCTGTAAAAAAAAAAAAAAGAGGCTAGGGAAGGCATCCTCAGAGAGGTGGAGGAAGCTGATGGAAGAAAGAAGGTGAAGTTGCAATAAATCAACCTTCCTCACCTGGGAGGGATTTGGAGAGAAAGTGCTTCCGGCTGATTCCCCATTGGTACCCATGGAGAGGCAGGAGGGGAGAGCAGAGTCAGTGAAAGTGCTTCTGAGACCCCCCTTTTGGGAATCCTATCCATACCAGAGTCTCTGAACCTCACGATTGGGATGCACACATTGAATTTGCCTTCTTTTCCTGCCTTGTTCATCCTCACAGTCCAAGGAGGGGAAAGTGTGGAAACAGCCCACAGGAAGTCAGCGCTGATACTCCTTGGGAAGCCATCAGGGAGGGGCCCAGGAGGCAGGGCAGCACTCCTCTGTGGTGCCAGCTCTCCTTGAGCACGGACTGCAGAGAACTACAGGCTCCAGTTTGGGGCTTGTGAAGTCAGTGACAAAGCACTTCCCAACCTTTGCCACAGTCCATCTCCATAGAGCTTGCCCTCGGACTTAAAGACATGGATGTGTGTGTGTGTGTGGGGGGGGTGTTGAGAAGATAACCCAGGCCTCCACTGAACCTCAAGGTACCTCTTGAATGCTAGGCTGTTGTACGATTTTAGGACCACAGCTGGCAGACTTGGCAAGAGGTTGTCCCTTTCTCTTCCATGTGGTACGGCAATGGCAATCAACCTGACATTCTGACACTAGTTCTATGAAGGAAAGGTCCACTACAGCCTTACTCTTTGCCAGGTGGCCAAAACCTGGCACAGCAACGACACACAGAAGGGTTCTGGCATGTGTACTCTGAATGAACAATGGACTTAAGTAATCTTACCGACAAGGGTACCGAGTTGAACTTCCTATTGAACACCACAGTGTGCTAATCATACCTTCCTTTAGCAAACATTTTGGGGGGGCATCCCAGGGAACTTGTAAGCAGAATTCATGGTGATGCTTGGGTGGCTCTTTCAAGAGTACCGCAGCACCCTTGGCCTTTTCTGGAGACTTAGACTTTATCATAAACTCGGTGGGGTGGGGTCCTAACTCTGAGAACACAGCTGAGGTCTTCCTGCACCCACCGTTGGTGCTGATTTTCAAGGGCTCCCCGGACCACCCCTTTAGCTTCTCAGAGTCGCCCAGCCTTAGCGACTCGACTTTCCTCCGGGGCCTCAGTGCCTCTCCCCATCCTATCTCCCTAGCCTCCAAGCATGAGCCCCAGTCCGACTACAGGTAGCTGGGGAAAGGACCAAGCTGTGTCTGGGGAGCTAGGTGCTGTGAGATCTCAGCAGTGAGATACCAAGCAGTCCCAGAACAAAAGACTCATGGCTGGTGCTGGCCTCCTCCACTCAGAGCGCAGTGGGGACATGGGTTCGGGACTCAGGCGGGAGAACCACGCTGTGGAGCAGGTTGTGGAGTACCAAAAATGAACTGACAAAAGAGCAGGCACCCAGGGTGGGAGCGGTGAAAGAAGGTCAGCCCCCCCCCCCCTCAGGCCGAGGTCTGCGGTGGGGCCGGGGCAGGCCCTTTCCTCCGCCTCCTGCAGAGCTTCCAGGCAGCCAAGCGTGTCTCCGGCTGCAACTCCACCGAGCACGCTGTGGCCGCGCCAGTAAGTAGCAGCCGCGCCCTCTGCTCGCTGTCTCTGCGCAGCCCGGGGAAGGACAGGTCTGCCACCGCCCAGCTTCCAGACCGGGTGTCCGGATCCACGCGCGCTCCGCGTTCTCCCGCAGTGGCGCGGCACCTGCAGCGCGCCACGGGGAGGGTCGCCTTGGCCGCTAGCTTCTCCGGGCGCCGCGCCACCCTTCCGTCCAATGGCTTTCAGAGGGTGGGGAGTGGGGGGCGTCTCCCGGGAGCGAGGAGCCGCGGCTGGGGTGGGGCGAGTGCTCTGTGATCAGCCGAGTGAGGCTGACGTGCCCGCCCGAGCGCGCGGCTGGGTGTGTGCGCGCCTGTATGTGTGTGTGTGTGCGCGTGTGTGTGTGTGCGTGCGTGTGTGTGTGTGTGTGTATGTGCGTGTGTGCGAGCGAGAGAGGGGTATGAACACGCCTTTGGGGACCCGAGGGACTCTGCGGTGGGCTTCTCTCCGGCGTCGGCCCTGTGGCTGGCTGCTCAGCTTTGCATCTGCCTACCGCGCTTCTGCAGAAGCAACCCCGCTCTTTCATCCTCTCGGAACCACCCTCAGCATCCAATCTTACTTTTTCTTTCACCCACGAGGGCAGCAGCTGGCCGAGACCTCCTTAACCGGTGCAAACATCCAAGCCAGTGCTCAGTGTTTTCCTCAGCTAGTATTTTCCCGCTTGTCTCTCTTTGGGGGCTCCCCACGAGCCACTCCAATGCTCCTCCACCCTTAAAAACTGTTCCGTTGGTCTCTTTAACCGAAGAGTTGTAAATCTTGAAGACTTTATTATTATTATTTTGATTCTTTCCGTTTCATCCCCCTGTGGACAACGGAGCAATGAAATTTCCAATCGAGACGCCAAGAAAGCAGGTGAACTGGGATCCTAAAGGTTGGTATTGCCTACTTCGGGCTACCCTGGCTCTCCTCCACCAGCAGGTCCCTCACTGGCAGGAGTGGATGAGCTTGCTCCCGGCAGCACGCGTCCGGAGGCTGGGAAATGCGCCTGGCAACTGCAGCGTGGGTGGGAGGAGGGCGGAGGCAGCGTGGGTTCGGAGCCCAGATCGCGCCTGTCAAGATCACATAACCGTTGTCCCTCTAGGATGGCTTCACAATCTATTTAAAGATATACCAAGCTGGCTGTTTGTTTTGAAATTTCACCAAGTGTTGGTATTTGCTTTTGACTTTGTGAGTAAGTGTGTGTGTGTGTGTGTGTGTGTCCTTTGTTTCTGGTGATCTTTGTCTCTCTGGCAGATGGGTGGGGTGGCTCTCCCTGGACCTGGTGCTGCACTGCTCGGCCCCGGGTGTCCTCAGGGGGACAGGTTTCTTGGCAGCATCTAAGGCTGCGATCTGCAGCAGCTGTCCCTGGGGTAGCACTTCTCTCGTAGGACATGTAGAATAATGGAGCCCACAGGACCTCCAGAGTCTTTGCTCGGTCTTATTACTAATCCTGCCCGCTAGTTTGGCTCAGGTTGTAGAAAGGGTGTGGGGAGTGGTTTTCCTCGACAATGATGAGTCTGGGAAGGACTCATGGGATGACCTACAGTGTTCCCACTCACACAATGGTGTGGTATACTTTTAGGAATGTGAGGTCACTTTCTCTTCCTGTAAAAGAGATTAATACAAGTGTGGGGGTGCACCACACCCCTGGCCTTGGCTATTGCCTCTGACGTTAATGTACAGATATTACGGCTCTTAGAGAACAGCATGGGAACAGGAGAAGTTGAAATGGTGTGTCTGGTCGCCCCTTAGCTCATATACAGACTGAACTGAGGTAGGCAGTCAGTGCTTGAGTGTCTTGGGGTTAAAATTTTGTGTGTGTTTAAATTTCTTTTTTAAAGAATGTTTTTATGTAGTCTTTGACAGTTTCAAGCTATGCATCCTGATCATATCTAATTCCCGCCCAGTTCCTCCATTTAGATCTCTTTATGATTGCATTTCTTCTCTTCTCCAGACTGAAACCAGGAAAGCAAGTTATTTGTGGAGTAAATGTCTTATGAACTGGCTGGCTCACAAGTGAGGGAAGAGGCATTGCCCTTCATTCTGCAAACACCTTCAGTACAGCCCCAGCCTTCTGTTTGGTCTCTAAATCTCTGAAAATGACAAGTGTGATTTGGCTTTTATTTTTAATCCTTGCAGGACATATTTATTTGTCAAATACATGCTTCCCACCAGACACAGCCATGGCCCTGGAAATACAGTCAGGACAGAACAGACAAGATATGTGTCTTCTTGTAATTTACAGAGTGTGTGTTGGGTCAGGGAAGTAATTAAACATGTAGCACGTTCTGTGAGCACTGTGGGACTTTAAAAGAGTCTGATAGGAAAGACTGGATCCGGGTGCGGTGGTTCATGCCTACAATGCCAACCGAGCCAGGATTTCTGTAAGTGCCAGGTTAGCATGGGGCTATATAGTGAGTCCCAGGGCAACCTGGACTTCTATACTGTTTGAAATAAAGCAAAACAGATTGACAAAGGCCAAGGGAGGGGATGTTCAGGAGGTTTTTGTAAGGCTGGACTGACACCTCGAGTGGGAGTTACCTGGCCAGTGAGAAGGGGGTCTGCCTTAGGAAGACTGAACTACAGTGCAAAGGTCCCAGAGCAGAAGGAATGTGTGCGTTTGATGAGCTGGAGGTGGTGTCCCATGACCAGAGGAGAGAGGAAGTAAGGAACAGGTGCCGCAAGGTGTGTGTGGCTAGGAGAATCTACAGACTAGCTCTAAAGCTCAGGTGGTGGTGTTGATGATGGAGCCCGGTTTGGGATCCAGGAAGATGGGTCTTCATTTTAAGCCCTGAAGAGTTTTAGCTGGAGACATGTTATCTAAGTTTCAAAAGCATTGCCATGGGATGAGACTATGGGAACCAGATACAATGGTGACAGTGGGGATGGAGAGATGATGGATGGACGAACTGTGGTGACCAGAAATCAACAGGATTTGTGAAGGAAGCACCCAGGAGGGGCTTACAAAGGACTGGGGTGTGGCTGGGGCGAGCCCGGTGTGGAGAAAGGAGTATGCCCACTCTAGGGTGAGATGTCCCCAGGAGGCAGGCAGTTGACTGGGGAGGGGTAGACAGCTTCTGCACTTTTGGTAGAAGACACATTGAGGGACTGTCTTCCAGATGCTGGCTTTGACTTTGAAAACTTATTTCTGTAATAGCTTCTTGGGTCCCAGTGACAAGTACTTCTCACAAATTTCCCATATTTCACAGCCTGATATGGAGAAGAGAAGCATACAAGTAGCTTCTACAGTTACAACCATGGCTGCTAAAAATGAACACCTCAATAAAAATAACAGCATTTCATGAGCCAGTCCAGCGTGCCAGGTGCTTCATGTCCATTATTTCATTCAGGCATTCTCACAAATTTTTAATGAAAAATTTAGCTGTCATATGAAGAATGGGTTTCATGACGACATCTTCATTCATATATATCATTGTACATTGCTTATATTCATATCCTCCACCCCAATTATCCACACCAGTCCTCCTCCCTCCCTCTCACTGGTCCCCTCCTGGTTTGCTTTCCTTATTAAAAAAGAAACTATTTTGTTTTGCGTGTATGGCTGTTTTACCTGTGTATATCCGTGTGCCACATGTGTGTAATGTCCATGGAGGCCAGAAGTGTAGGTATCAGATCCCTCTCAGAACTGGAGTAACAGATGGCTCTTCAGCTGTCGTGTGGGTACCAGCAACGGAACCCAGGTTCTCTGGAAGGGCAGTCAGTCTCCAGGCTCCAAGTTTACAATTCTTATTTGATGGTGTGTTACTGTCCTATTTGAGCTTTGCCTGTCACTGTGAAGCTGCCTTCCCCTGAAGTGGTCCGGTTCACACCTTTAATTTCTGATGGTGCAGGTGGCTAGAGTCTGGCTATGGGGCAGGAGGAGAGTGGGTGTGTCTTAGGTTTATGTGCCGGACACTGGTCAAATACTTCACGTATATTAGTTTCCTTCATGTTGACAAATATCTTAGGGGGAAAGTATTATCCTGCTTTTAGAAATGAGGGAACCGAGGAATAGAGAGGGCAAGTAACTTGCTCAGAGTTGCATGGCTAGTAGGTGGTGGGACTAGATTAGAATCTGGGCTCCTAAACATTCTCCTAGCCTGTGTCCCATAAGATACTGGGACATTGGACTTTTGCCTGGTGAGTCTTCCATCACTCAGGGACTGCAAAATGTAGCTGAAGTTTTTCTCGTCTGGCCTGGTCCCACAGCCACTTTTAAAATAACCACTATGAGGTTTAATATTAATTACAAACTGTTTAGCCTATTAGCACAGGCTTATTGTTAACTAGCTCTTACAACTTAATTTAACCCATTTCTAGTAATCTGCTTATCGACATGAGACCTGCAATTTACCAGTGATGCTTGGATATCTTTTTCCTTGGCAGCTGGACGGTGTCTCTTAGACCCCACCTTCTATTTTTATTTATTTTTTACATTCTAATCCTAGTTCCCCCTCCTTCTGCTCCTCCTGCTCCCCCCATTTCCCATCTGCTCCTTGGAGAGGGTAAGGCCTCCCCTAGGAAGTCTACTAAGTCTGTCCCATCATTTCATTGAGGCAGGACCAAAACATCTCTCTACCCCCATACCTCTATGTCTAGTTTGGGCAAGGTATCTCTCCATAGAGAATGGGCTCTACTAAGTCAGTTTGTGCATTAGTGTTAGATCTTGGACCCATTGCCAGTGGCCTCTTATGTTGTCCCAGTCACACCATTGTCACCTATATTAAGGGAGTCTAGTTCAGTGTTATGCAGGTTCACCATTTGTCAGACTCCACCTTCTTTCTCCCTTATCTCTGTTTGGATTTCCTGCCTGGCTCTATTCTTCCTGGCTATTGGCCAAATCAACTTCTTTCTTAACTAATGGTAATAAAACATATTCATAGCATACAGACAGACATCCCCCATCAGTGAAAACTCTCTGGAAGGAGGAAAAAGAGAAGGAAGAGAAGGAAGAGGAGAGGGATTAGAAGAGGAAGGGTATGCATTCAATGTCACCAGAATCATTTAGTTGTACTTTCCTGCCTAGTTGGGATTTGCTTGCTGTGAAAGCATGTTAAAGGCTTTTAAGCCCCAGAAATATTAACGCAGAATGTTCTCATGTCTTGAGCGAATTGGATCAATGCAGTATAGAAAACTCAAGATTTGGGTGTAGAAGAGAATTAGCTTTTGGAGCCAGCTGTAGCAGTTAGTAGCTGCGTGTCTTCAGGTTATCCATTTAGCTTCTCTGGGTCCTACTGCTTTCCTCTTCCCCGTTCTCCAGAACTGAAAGACTATATGAGTGTGAGGTAGTGACGCCAGATGTGTGTGGCCAGCCAGACAAAGATCTGGTCATTATTGAGTTAATAGTAGACCTATGGCTGTTTTCAGGCGCTTAAATAGACTTAGGAAATAAGTAAGACCTTGGAACTGGGTTCCTTAAGAAGTTGCACTTTTAGAAAGGCCGTCTTCACCTCTTGTGTAGTACTTTTCAGTTTACAGAACACCTTTAACAAACGATGTCATTTGTTCTTCAGGAAACTATTTTTGCAGATATTAGAGTTTAGTCTTACTGCTGGGAAAGGTAGGATATATAAAAAGGATAAACAGCTTATTTGGGGCCTCCAAACTTCAAATAGGTGGAGCAGAGGCAGGCCCAGGCCATTGGCTGCCTCTGCCTGAGTAGTTTCCCTTACACCTTCTTTCCCTCCTTCCCTTCTGTCAGTTCCAAGGTCACTTCACATCCTACTCAGCAGTATATTCACAAATCTCTTTGAGAGGTATAGGTTTCCAGCTGTGGGCTGTTTCAACAGCTTGCACCTGCGTAGACTGACATACATGTCACCCCATTAGTCAGCATGTAGAATACAGTCAGCCTGTAGAAGCCCACCTTCCATTCTGCCTAAAAGAAGTCTG